TCGACAGCTACCTCCAACATCTCGACGGAATAGTCTTTGTAACTTCTAGATCCTAGTCTTCTTCTATTTCTTTTTTTTTCGTAGCACTGCGGGGTCGACTTTTGTCACTCATATTAAAAAAAAGTTTTAGCTGTATTAAAATATACACAGAACCCCCCAGGTTATAATTAGGCAAATAGGCAAAATCGCGGACTAACCGTGGATTATCCATACAAACGGTCCGACCGTTTGTATGGTTAATCCACGGTTTTATTATTCCCGTCCAATAACAGTTAGGTTAAGTTAGACCTTCAGAAAAAAAAATCCCAAAACTAAAAAAATTCTAAACTTCCATTAGAGATTATTTTTCTTATATGCCATATGGGATGGTCAATCACAGACATCGACCTGTTACGATTTTATTACCTATATTTATATATTTTAGTGGCATGATGAGTTGACAACCCTAACGGTAATATGTTGGTGGGTATAGTTGCCAACAGTGTTTTAGATATACTAAGGTGACATTGCCCACCATCGTAACTCTGAAATTGAGAGCGTTTGCGCGTTATATTATTGAATGATAGTGTTTATTGTTCACACACTGATGACGGATAAAACATTACTTACCTGCTGCAACTGCAACTGTGATTTTTCAACAAAGTTTTTCACTTCAGAATTCGCCCGCAAAACACACCAACCACTTCGATGCTGTCTGACAAGCAACTGACGTGAAGTAGAAAAGAGTTCGTTACTCAGTGTTGCCAGCAATATAGTAATTTTTTCTAACATTCATTGAAAACTACACGATTTTAAAACATTTTCGGTATTTTTCGAATATAAGTCAAAGCACCTAACTAGGCAAAGTCAGACTCATTGGGCAAAGCCGCCACAATCGACGGTATGATTCTCAGAAAACGACCCAGGCCTACAGTTTTCGTTTAAACTCAAGTAATGTATTATGGCTCCTCTTCGCGATCGGCCATGATGGGCGATTACACGCGAGCACGATTGTGTAGAGGGGCTAATCGCCTGTAGTTGCCCATCATCGTCCTCAATCGTCGTTGATCGTCGTCGTGATCGTGGCGATCGGTACATTGTCGGTTTTTCGGGCACACATCAAAGGGAATTGCTTCTATTGCGTGCGCGTGCCCACACGATCGCCGATCATTCATTCACCGGAGGACAGCGAGCAGTGCGTACGTCGCGTCGTTTTTAAATTTTTAAATAAAAGTGAGTGCGAGTGCGAAACAATGACTACTGGGTGGTCAAATTAAAAGACATTCAAGTTCATAGAACTATATATATTACTGGTAGCTGCAGCTATAACCTCCACGTCCATCTTGAATGCTTGCCGCTTAATAAATGATCACCGACGATCGTGTGGATGCTTGCACGATGATGGTGGCGATTACCTTGCCGATTACAGACGATCAACGAGTGTCGATCATGGCCGATCGTGTAGAGGCGGCTTTATATTCAACAATACAGTATAATATAGTATAAAGTCACATAGAATAGAGTTAGTTCGACATCACTAACAGAGATGGCGTTGTATAGTTGATTTGATATTCTGAATCGCGCTAGGGTTACTTTCTGTTATAGTGGATATCAGTTTTTGTTTAAACTAGCACCCCCCTTTCACCCAAGAGGGGTCACGTTCGATACAGCTTAGAGATCTCTAGCTAGATCGTTAAGCCAGGCCATAATGGCGGTGTTTAGTGGGTAAAAGTTTCCACATAACCACAAAGCCGGCTGCGTGGTATGCTACGAGCATTCATCGCCTTCCTCCCCCGCTTTCCGGAGGGTTGCCCTTATTGCTTTGGGCGCAAAAAAAAATTAAAATATGAGCATCTTGCCCCCTCCATTCTGCCAAGGAGGGTTGCGTCCGTTTAGGGCTTAAAGACCTTTCGACAGATCGGTAAGTACAGACATAACCACGCAGCCCCCTTCGTGGTTAGAGATGGGTTGTACTTGCAAAACCGAGTCCCAGCGCTTGCAAGTATATTCACCTTCAGATACAAACGCCAAAAACTAGGGCTCGAAATACTTTCAAGTAATTTCTTTCTGCATCGAAAATTGATATGTAAAACATATAAATAAGGAGTGCAATCGAATGGCATAATATGCTATAATAGTAAGTTTTCAAGCCTTGTTGTAAGAAAAATACTTGCATAGAATATTGATATGTAACTATATACAAAAATACGTGTGGCACTCGGGGACTGCCGCGGTAAAGCTATTGCATAATATTTTTGTCAACTTATGCAATTATAATTATTTATTTATGTAGTATTTTTTTATTTGTTTTTTTTTTGATATTAATTCAAGTTACAGCAGCTATTCTACACGCATACATCTAGTCGCACGCACACAAACACCGAGCCGAAGTCTGCCGAACTGAAGCGATGTTACGGCGCCTCTACACGTTGGCCAAGACATTGGCGAATGTAGTGGCCAATAGCATTATGTAACGGGTTTGGGCATCATTGGTACGTATTGGAACGATGGCCCACAAGTTGGCGCGAGATCCATGTGGTGTCGGTTTTTTACACAAGATCAAAGGATTGTTGGCAGAGTTTGGTCGCCGCGTCCACACGTTGGCCGCGAGTTTAGTTTGCTACAAGCTCCCAGAGTGATTACAAGCATCTGATTAAAATTTTACATTCACGCTTTGTAGGGTGGATGGCCCAATTACCAGCCTTTTTAGTGCCAATTTCAACTTTAAACATTCCTACTACTTTAATTAGCACGATTCAATTATTTTTAAACATTTGTTTTAATCGATAAGCTATTTAAAAAAAAATAATGAACATTTATTTACAATCAGATTATTACGAGAACAATTTTAAAATGAAAAAAAATGAAGCACGTCGTTTATACATGGTAGAACCATGCAGTTATATTAGAAGTATAGTTGTAGCACGAATGGGTCGGTTCGACCGGGGAAGGACCACGCTCTCACAGAATATCAATGTAAAATAGTAGCTTAATGATTGTGTGTTTCGTATAGTGAGTGTAGAGAACCAGAGACACTTTTTAAATGAAACGAGGCATTTCATCTTAGTCCTCACGGGTGCCAACGCATCTGCATTTTGATTCGTAATCGAGGATAGATGTAGATGTCTGTGGGCCACAGCAAGCACTTACCAGCAGGTGAATTGTGTGCTCGTTTGTCACCCTATCCTATATAAAAAAGCGTCGATTTCTCATAATTTAATCGTGCAAGTTTTCGAATCATCATCATCATTACAGCTCTTCACAAGTCCACTACTGAACATCTTCCTCCAAAGAAAGCCGCAAAGCATGGTCCTGAGCCACTTTCCTTGTCATAAGTTTTTCATTTATGTTCTAAGTTATAATTAGTACCTATTATTAAGTCAGTGTTAATTATATTTATTGCTATTGTTTTCAAAAAATAATTAAATTACCAAAAATTATAAGGTGTTTTCTTATAACTACATCAAATGTCTGATAGAAAAGCAAGTACATGTTTTGCTAAACTTTAAAAACAAAACCCAATTTTAAAACATAGACTTATCGATTATAACTCCTTTAACTTTAAAATAAGTTTAGTTCTAATTAATGGTATTTATTCCAGTTTCTGATGCATGAAAAGAATAAATAAAGCTAATCGTATATCTATTTACAGCCCATTAATATTCACCATTCTTTTATAATTATTTTATAAAAACGTTGGATTATCTCCTGTATCGCGGAGGCAACTTACAAACATAAATTGCATAAGGACATACATCCATACCCGAAACAATTATTTGTAGGATATACAAATACTTGTTCCGTGCGGGATTCAAACCCGGGACTCCTGGCACAGTCACTCATTGCCAAGCCACTGCGCCACGGAGCCGTCGTCTAAAATAAAATAAATTCGTCCGCACTTAAACGACGTTAGACAATGCACGGCCTTCAAGCCACACCTCCGTGCCCGTCGGAGTGGGGAGCGTGAGGTTTTTTTTCGTTTCGGAATTTCTGGATTCGGTCCCCGCGCTCAAGGCCCGCGATAGAAGCTATGCAATAGCTTAATAAAGAGCACCATCGCGTTTACAAAAAAAAAAAACTTGCAAACCTTTAAATATTCCAGCTTTTAAGACTTGCGTAGAACATTGATCCGTAATGATAAACAAATAAAGAGCACAATCGCGTTTACTTTATAAAACCACCAAACCTTTAAAGTAAAAATACTTGCATACGAAATTGTTCCGTGACTTATAACACATAAGGAGCATAATCGCATTTGCGTAAAAGTAACGCGACTTGAAGTAGGGATTGCGAAGGTACTAGGTACGTAGTTTTTAAACAAAAACAGATGTCGTCGTTGGTTACGTAGAATAATATAATTATGTAGTAGGTATTTAAATATTTTGGTGGATTGTTTCCAATTTTACTCAATAATAAAGATTAGGATGGTAAATATATAATGAAACCCTTCCTTCCTACTTTAAAAACAGGCTTAGGACTGTCAGCTTGCAAATGTATTACATACCTATTATTATTTTGTAAATTAATTTATTTTATTAGCTGGCATAGTTAAAAGATTTCAATTCTTTTTATGTACAATATATAGTTATTTACAGAACGTACGTAATTTATATTAAGTAGGTATTCATTTACAACTCCTTTTTTATGTTTTCTGTTTTCTTACTTCCTTATTTACGTGAGGTTATATACAGGTCTATTTTATATATTTACAATACCTATATAACTACACGGCGGTGGTGATGAAACGAATATGAGGTAGGTAGGTATCTTTGGTTTTGATGAAGAAACAACAATTGTTGAACCTTGCGGCTTCCCAGTCGGTTTCTTCTTTCGGTTAGTATATTCCCTGCAGCGGAAAATAATCGCTCGCAAGCTACGCTAGTAGCCATTGCATTCAGTTTTCTCCGAGCTAGCTTAGCTAGATATGGGTAAATGTACTCATATTGCACCGATATTGATATTGGACCGATCCTGCTGGACGGACAATCTGCGTGGTTTTATTATAGTGCTTCCAAATGAAGCTATTCGGTCTTCTGGTGGCTGCCGTTTCTCCCTGTCGTGACGTAGATGGTAAGGCCACGCTGGGTTCGTTTATCATCGCAGTCACCAACGCTATGACGTGTTTTTTGTGTTGTCGGCAATTGCTTGATTTTCAAATATAATTTATACCGTGGGTCGAGAAACACGGATGTAGTGAAAGTTTTACTATTTTCCATGTTCGCGAGTCTGGAAGTTATTTCCGACAGCAGTTCTTGTCGACACATTTCGACTTTATCGGCGAAAACTTTTAAATTGCTATTTTGCTGATAAGCTGGATCAGCAATCTCATTGAGTGCACTGGTGAGACCGACCGTTATAGGCAGCACTGAGCAACCACTAACGTATTTTTGGCCACTCATTTCTCTAGTCACCTCTTCGCACGACTCCAGTACCATAATCAGTGATTCACAGACGTCCCATTCATAGTTCATTATGGCTAGGCGACTTGGCGAGTCTAAATTGCTTATCGCACATTTAATTTCATCCTTCAGCTCCACAAACCTCTGCAACATATCGGTATAATATAGAATTCCATCGTATCGCTACATCTTGGATAGGACGTTTAACAGTTTTATTTGCCTGCTCTTGATATTTTTAGTATGTTCCACGCTATATTTAATATTTTTTCCAACGTAGTACCTACTCCCTAACGCTTTTTGAACTGCGAGGTTGAGCGTATGGGTGTAGCAGCCAAAGTGCTTCCATTGTAAAATGGTTATTGCATTTTTTATATTGGCCCCGTTGTCTGACACTACAAGCAGGACTTTGTCAGCCAGTTTTTGGACGTCGTTCAGCAACATTTCCGCCAAATTCATTCCTACGTGGTTTTTCCAGCATCTTGCACTCCAAAAGTACAGGTTGCAAAAGGAATCCTTTGTCAATGTAATGTCCCGTAATCGCCAAGTACGAGTCATTATTTCTAGATGTCCACATATACGTCGTTAAATAATTTTTTTAATCGTTGTGGCAACTTCGTTTACTGATGCTTTGGTAATAGTTTTCACATCTTCGTATTGTGCCGGAAGTAAATTGTTTGCAAACTACTTCCGCGTCGGTATTGTATAATTTGAGAATGCGAACTTAAGAGTTCGCGGAACCCTTTACCTTCGACTATGGTAAAGGGCTGCATATCCCATTTAAATAATCTTGCCAGTGGCAGCTGTTATAGTAGGTAGTTCTGGATGGCAGTAAAAAATTTATTTTCCCACCTGAAAGTTAAAATTCGTGTGATTCGGTCCGTCAATTCATGACTATATAGTATACAAACACAGATGAGGCGTCAACGAATATAATCAGTGTTGCGATCTCTTACAATAATGAGACATCGATTGTTAATACTTAAAATTAAATTATCAATGTCTTGCTGCAGTATGGGGTCCCATCTTCTTTGCAAGAGTTCGTGAAATTGTTGTTCCGTCGTTAAATTTGGCAACTACATTATCTGTACGGTAGTATCTAATTCTAGTCCAAAAGAACTAATTCTTACTTTTGGACTAGAATTAGATACTACCGTACAGATAATACTGTTCAGCTCGACATTGCCTCTTATAAGATATTATTTTCAAATGATCTAAAACAATTTATCTACAAAAAAAAAACATTTAAACTTTTATATTTAGTGAAAGTATTGTTGCACAGTGTGGCAAATTCATTATTCGGTCGTCAATGTCCTTTTTAATATCACTGCAATCATGACGAATAAATGCCGAAATTGCCGAATTCGTTCTTGAACTTATTCTCCTTACCAACTGCGAAGTTGAGGGCTGTGGTGGTAGCGCTTGCTGTGAGCTGATCTCTTCTTGACCAACAGAATTTTGGGCAGTTTGCTGTTGTTGGAGTTTTGCTGCTTCTCGTGCTACTAATTTAACAGCGAGGTGCCTTCGCTGAACATGTTTTGTCAGATTTGACACACCCGATTTAAATGAAATTTAACTAACTAAAATAAATACACTGAAACAGAATTTACATATTTTGTATTTAGTTTTCTTTCTTGGCCGAGCGAGAGCGATGTAAGTATCATAATATTTTCGTATTGCTTCAAGAATGCGCGCGCCGCCCAAACGCGGCCGAATTGGGATTCCAAACCAAGTAAAATACTTTGATGAAGTCTCGAAACCAAGCCTTGTTGGACCATTGATCCGTAAATTAGTATAAATAAGAAGCCGAATCGCGTTTACAAAAAAAAATACTTTCAATAATTTAAAGTAAATATACCTTGATAGAACATTGATCCGTAACTCAATATAAATAACGAGCAGAATCGCTTAGAGTATCGACAGAGTGAGAATATTCAAATACTTCGAAGTCTTGCGAGTATTTTGGGTCGGCATAAAAACCTGGTCGTGTAAATACGCACCTTCCCTACCTTACGGTTTAATACGTGCAGCTCTCGACAGTTTCCATACATTGGAATTGCAACTGTCAAAATAGCGCAATACAGCCAGTGGCAAGAGATGATGAAAAAGTTATGAACTATGCAAAACTCGTTGTTTTTACGTAGTTTTACATCAAAAGAATTCGAAAATTTTGTACAATTTTACACTGTACTAAAACAAAACATGGATAATAGTTTCTGAAAATTTTTTGGGGGTTTAAAAATAAAACTAAATACATTACGAATTTGAAATTAGCTTTAATTTTCAAGTTTTTAGACATAAATCTACTTGTGTGTGACTCATTAAACTCATTTACGTATGCTTTTAGCAGAACGTTGATATAATCTTATACATTCATCACATTTAGAAATATTTATTTGTGCATATACATTAGAAATAATTCTACCTTTAATATTGTTTACAGAAAATTTTATATAATTGTTTCTATTTTCTTTGAAAATTTTGTTGATAATGTCTGAAACTCTCTCGGCATTCTCTATTTGTGTATTTTCTAAACTACAATCATTATCTAGGCTACATACCAATTTTTTACATTTATCATCTGGCAGTGAACTATATACCCAACCTACACTATATTGTGCTTTTTTTTAAAGAATACTAACAATGCTATAAACATTACTAATATTCCCTTTAACCACTAGTGGTAAGCTTAAATTGCATGTGTTACGAGTGGTTCACGCTAGTAGTCGAATGGCGGATTCGAACCCACGAACTTTTAGAGTTCGCGGTCCGCGCCCTGCCATTTAACTACTCATCATCATCATCATCATCATTACAGCCTTTCACAAGTCCGCTGCTGAACATAAGCCTCCCCCAAGTAATACCACAAAGCAGGGTCCTGAGCCACCTGCATCCATCGACTTCCTGCATGTCTTACCAGGTGGTCGTCACTCCATCTAGTGGGGGATCGCCCTACACTACAACTACCGTTACGGGGCTGCCACTCGAGAACCTTTCTTCCCCATCGGTTATCGGTTCTTCGAGCTATATGGCCAGCCCATTGCCACTTCAGCTTACTAATCCGTTGGGCTATGTCGGTCACTCTGGTTTCACTGCGGATATCCTCATTTCTGAATCTATCACGCAGAGAAACTCCGATCATAGCCCTCTCCATAGCTCGCTTAGCGACCTTGAGCGTCCTCATACGGACAGCAGTGAAGGACCACGTCTCAGATCCGTAAGTCATCACTGGCAACACGCACTGGTTATACACTTTAGTTTTCAGAGATTGAGGTATATCTAACCAGAAGATGTGTCGTAATTTCCCGAACGCTGCCCAGCGGAGTTGAATCCGTCGATTGACCTCTCGGTCGAAGTTGGACTTACCTGGTCGGACTATTTGTCCCAGGTAAACGTACTCGTCAACAACTTCGAGCATAGTGCCTCCAACAACTACCGGCATAGGTGTGTCAAGGACCTTAAACATGATCTTTGTTTTGTCCATGTTCATCTTAAGACCTATCCGTTAGGAGACACCATTGAGGTCATTGAGTATAGTGCTGAGGTCCTCCAGTGATTCTGCCATAAGGACTATATCGTCGGCAAATCGAAGGCGAGTACATCACTCACCTTCGATTTGGCTACTGTCGCTTTTTAAAACTTTGTTTTTTTGCTTGGTTAAAACTTTGTTTTTTAGACAGTAAAACTTATATTTTTATGCTTGATTTGCTCTCTTTGCAAAAGAAATGCACTTATTTTTAGTTTTTCCACACAGCTTAAACTTTTACATTTTTTCTTATATTTTGATAATAAACTAGAGGTATTAGTGTTTATACATTTATATAGGTAGTAGTATCTGAGACGTGGTCCTTCACTGCTGGCCGTATGAGGACGCTCAAGGTCGCTCAGCGAGCTATGGAGAGGGGTATGCTCGGAGTTTCTCTGCGTGATAGATTCAGAAATGAGGATATCCGCAATAAAACCAGAGTGACCGACATAGCCCAACGGATTTATAAGCTGAAGTGGCAATGGGCCGGCCATATAGCTCGAAGAACCGATAACCGATGGGGAAGAAAGGTTCTCGAGTGGCAGCCTCGTACCGGTAGGCGTAGTGTAGGGCGACCCCTCACTAGATGGAGTGACGACCTGGTAAGATATGCAGGAAGTCGATGGATGCAGGTGGCTCAGGACCGTGCTTTGTGGCATTACTTGGGGAGGCCTATGTTCAGCAGTGGACTTGTGAAGGGCTGTAATGATGATGATGATGATGATTAGTATTTAGTCTTGTCTTATAATTATCTATAACAAGATGTAAATTATGAATTTCTGTCTGCAAATTTGCAACATTAGGTATTGTTTTCATGTTGCTCTTCGGTCTCCATTATCGGGTCTAGTACCGAGTTAAATTTGTTCTGTTTAGAACTGCAACAAGAAAGGCACACATACTATGTAGTTTCTTAGTAAATGCTTACAAACATAATAATGGAAATGTTAAAATTTTGGTATATAAGACAGAAAGTTATACCTTATAGGACAGTCTAAATTTATTTCACGTAGACATCTTCTCTTCATTATATTTTTCTTATTATTCAACTTCTAGGTTGGTACTGAACCTGGCATTAACGTAAAAATGATTCTTTGTATTGATTGGTACATCTGCATATATTTAGTGTGGAAAAAACACATTCATTACATAAATATTATACCATCTAAATATTGACAACTTACCCCGTTTATATTAATCTTTATTTCGAAAACATTCTACATCAAAACGATTTAAAAAAAAACAAAATAATTGCATGTTTAATGTTCATCAAATTACCCAGGTCAGTTCTTTTACAAGCCACAATCCATTGCTTCAATCTAAAAATTTATTAAAAAGTACAACAAACGAAATATTACAAGCCTACTATCACATTTTTTTAATAAAATCACAAACAACTAACCTCTCCAAAACTTGTATTCTAAAGAATGATTTTGGTTTTTTTTTTGTTGTTTATAATTGTTGCAACCATATAAAGCACAAATTGAACTACGTGAAAAACTAGGTTTTGCAGATATCTTTTGTTAATAAATTATGTAATTAGTGAAATAGTACAAACTATGTTAACCGCGCGACTATTTACAAGGCTGAAAGCTAAATTCGTACAGTTTCAGTACATTCGTACTATACGAGT